TGCAGCTGTAGGCGGGAAGGCAGAATGAGGAAGACTGGATTATTAAAACTATCTGCAGCCTTCGTTTTCGTAGAGTTTGCACACTAACGATCGAGAGTCATCACACATTATTCAGCTGCGTATTGTCGAGCGATACTGAATAGGAGTTGAAAGGGATGACACATAGTAAACACAAATTTGGCGCTAATACCCTTGAAAAGGGCAACTATGGGAATCCTGTATACAGAAGTATCAACACGAGTGCAGCGAGCCTCCGCTGAGTTTTGCGCGGTGCTGCGTTGGCGATCCTGTAAAATGCGTCACACACTAGACATCGTTCATCTCAGAATCCTCTTCTGGGTGAGCGATGTGAAACGCGAGTAGAGAGAATGCATATGAGGATAGAGATATGATATGAATTGATATGATTTCATATTGAATTTGTGTATAGTACAATTGATGACTCCCCCTCCACCTTGATGTTTCGTTGAACATCGTAACTGGCAACCAGGGGCCCTAAGAAGCAGTCAAGGAGACCAAACAAAGACGAGCAAGGGAAGCCGACGAGTAGTGACACCCAGTGAAGCCGTGACCCAAAGGTCAAACTTGGAGGCAGTACCGGGCTCTTGTGCACGCTATTGGTCGCTGATGGAAGCTGCCGTAAAGTATTAGGTTGGTCGAAAAGTCCTGCGACACTTTGACCAATTTTTCGGACTAAATTTTCGTCACTAAAAGACATCTCCAATCTACAAGGTAACCGCAGTTGATGACTAGGACTAGTGCCCTTCTTTTGCACAGCTTCTCATTTCCATTCTCATAGAACTACGGCAACTATGATAAAAAGAAGAGGTGGACCTCATTCTCGAGTTGAGGTCGATTTTCGGAACTTTTGCTTTTAAAGGATGCGATAGGGACCAAAGGAGGTGGTAATTAGAGGCTGCTAACTTTGTTAAATAACCTGGGTACGGTCGCATTCTCTGATCGAAATCCATGATCTTTTGGCGTAGCCTGATCCCCACATGCGGTCTTCGCATTGCCGAGTAGTAGAGAAAAATTGAGTATTTCTGAATGAATTCAAGCGTGACGTCATCCATATTTTGAAGTCGATTAAGGTGGACTGTGGTCCTTACAACTGGTATCCAGTGATACCGCTTTGAAGTCCCACCAATAACACACTGAAATCTTTATCCCATGCACATCTGCTTTTGGCTAAGCAATCTACTTTTTGAGAGATCCTGCGAGGGACATGTGCATGATGTACGCAAGGACCCCACCACTCTCTACCAACCACAAGATCTCACAAATGTTCCTCCAGTGTGTACAAGGAAAAGATTGTCAGACGGGTCCAACTCATGAGGCATCCTTCACAAAAAATTTTTCCGATAACCGAGATTGCGGAGAAGCATGGCAGTTGTCAGTCAGGTGGAGCCTAGAGAGGTTGCCAACTTACTGGTGGTTACCTTCGGCTGCGCCTCAAGAAGCTTGAGTAAAGGGCCGTCATTCTGTGCTGGTGGGCGACCTATACATTGCCTAACTACGAGTTAAATAAGTCCAGCCTAGAAGCGCTGATGCAAAAGCTACCCTCTGCCATGGCAAGCGATATCCTTCCTCAAGACAACGTAAGTGTTAGCTTCCTCGACTACGGCGGAGTGGCCCTACAGGAACTCATAATATGGGATAGGTCGAAAAGTACCTCGATCTCTGAGGGAAGCTTTGAAAACTTCCACAAAGTCATGATATACCCATGTGCAGAAACCCCAGAGGACAGTCTCCACTAATCAGGGATAAAAACATCCAAAATGATTTTTGGTCTTTTTCTAGAACAATTCAATCAAAGTGTCGCAGGACTTTTCGAACAACCTAATATGAACGCAACCTTAGGAAGTCGAAGTGATCCTCCTGTCAATGAATCCTTATACTAATCCCTATTATAAACTTTTTATCTGCCAAAGCTATTTTCACTGAAGCTGGTATCAGGCTGACTGATCTGCTTGAACATTCTGTGACAAAAGGAAAGTGATATCATTAATGTCCCAATTTAGCGTATCATATGATTTTTACAACTATCCGGTGGAGGTGTTATGATTAGATCTGCGCGCATATGTATAAGCTAGTTCGCTGCTGACGAAGGGGCGTGTCAGGCGAGATGAGTTTAGCGCGGTGCCAAAGCCGTTCTCCGACAACTATTGGAGTGAACATGTGACAAGACTCTATCATATTGGTCGCATCACTTGTTCTCTACCAGCTGTTGTCGTATACCCGCTCTCAATTGAAACGAGTGTGACGCCGTGACACACTCATACTCCCTGACCGTACCTTCATCCGCAGCGAACTGGAGTACGCTCCACATTTTTCGAAACCGTGGACGTGGCTGCGTACAAGATATTTCCATTCCAGACCAGTAATGTGACAACACACAAACTCTGTCCATCATAGGACAAGGTGGCAGTCGTCTCAAGATCGGAGCATTCCACGAATACGTCATCCTACACCATGTCCAAATGAAGTAAGCAACCACATCGGCCGCGTTCGCAAGGTTGTAGAGTTTCCGACAGGGCTCCTCTGTTGCGGTATTCATGCTTATTGCAACACAAGCAGGAGCGAGTCCGTCCACACGTGAAAATCGGGTCCTTGGCGCACAAGGGATGATGAAGCGAGTGTGATCCACTTGACCAGGTCATATCAAAAACTATAAGGATTGCTGTAATCTTGGAGGAGTGAGAATTGCCTCGAAACCACTCGAAGGTGCACTATCAGAGTGATTAACTTCAACACTGCTGAGAAAACTTGTCCATTGAAATGCCTGAACTTCAGGCGCTGGAATCAAGATTTCATTTAGGACTAAGTCGCTCTGTCCCATTGCCTGCTGCTCAGTCATGCTAAGCCTCATTCTTTGATGTTCAGACAGTTGTGGTGGATACGATCCTCCGAATTCTTCAAGCAAAAGTATAAATAATTATTCTTCAACAGTGACGAGAAATTGTCTTGTTGTGTCTCTGGTAATGGATGCTATGGCTGGCGAAAATTTGAAGCAGTCACAACTCGATTTGGATGCCGCTATAAATAGCTGACGTCTTACAGGTTAAACAATGTTCACTATGATGTTTCCTTTCATCGAGTCTAAACCTCGGGTTTTCTCTATCTCTCATTCCTCCCTGACTCCCTCATCCCGCAAAAGTCCGAGAAGTTCAAAGTTTAACTTCATAACTTTCCCTTCAAAGACTATTATCACAGAGCGATCATGTAAGATGTTTGTCAGCCCCCCTCCGTACGCCGCTATAAGATAGAGGACACTCCGCTATCGCATTTCCTGGGCTTATGGATGAAATCTGCTATTATTTTCCTACCCTTTGTGTCAATCCCGCGCCGTAGAGGGGTCCGCTGTTCTTGTTAACCATCGGCATCCTCTTCCAGGACATCCTCGTCCACAGCCTTCACTTTACTGAGGTCTCTTCTAATCAGTCTTTAACCTTTTATTCGGGGCTTGTGCTTTCAAGTCTGGTGCCTTCCTTATATAGCCTGAACCTTCGCAAACGCGCCTGTGTCCTCAGCTGGACTGGAACTGTCTTGTTGCCGCATGTCCTCGTTTCCGTCTGTTTCTAGACGAGTCCTGCTTGCAGGCCCATCTAAGCAGCCTGATTTCAACACAGTGGAGCTGTTTTTCCATGGTTCTTGCCTAAGGGCAAGCATTTGCTGCCGTAGAGCACTTTAGGCCTTACAACGCCCCAGTACACAGTGCCTTTCAATGGTCTTGGAGCATCGCCTAGCAGAGGATACTGGTGGACTTCCTTCATCCAAGCCGCACTCATTCGAGCCTTTACTGCCTGATCGATGGGCATCATGGGTCAAATCGCTTAGCAGGCCGCGTAAGTTCTCCACCCTGTGCGGATCCATCCATAACTGTCATTGATGGGCTCCGTGCACTCCTCAGCTCAGGAACCTCCTAGCTTTGAATTTCACCAGTTGATGTTAGAACACTAAAACTTTCTGAAGCGATTAAAGGCGTTAATCCAGAACACTTACCTGATCAGATCTCTACAACAATCTTCCACGACAGATATGCGCATCGGTCTGTTTGTTCTGCTGGTTTCCTTCAGCATTTGTGCGACACATAATTTCTTTGAAGTGAGCAAAAACATTACTTTGTAAGAATTTATGAGACTACAACGTATTGGTAAATCCAAAAAAGGATATAGAAAGTTTGATAGAAAGTATCATGTCCTTGAATCCATCGGCCTGGATGGAAAAGTTGTTGGAATATGAAGTCTCCAACCTCAATTCCTAAGCTGAAATTGTAAAAGAAAGAGTTTGTACGGAATGAAAGACATCTGACTACACACTTTTGCCAGAACGATGAAATTTCCTTTTACCAGAAAAATGTTTGGACTGCCAGTGGTGATGAAACACCGTTCGCCCTCCTTCCAAACTGTAGTTTTCAAGAAATTGGCTTACCATCAGATGATCGAAAAGGATACCCTCGCAGAAGAAACCTATTGTAGAGATAGGATGATCGATTACCCTCGCAGAAGAAACCTATTGTAGAGATAGGATGATCGATAATTTCCCTCATCTTTTTCGCTGAGATTCTGATCCCTAATAGAGCTATGTAAAGACCGTGTAGCAAGAAAAAATGGCATAAAATAGGGACATAATGAGTCCCAGAGCAAGAGAATCGAAAGTTTTGGTTAGCGATAACTTTTCGATTACCCTCATAAGAAGTTTACGATTCATCAGGCTTGGAAAATGAAGTTAAAATTCTCCTTTACAGAACGACGACGGAATCTATAACGAAGAGGGCTGTGGAGAACGTGAGAAGATTTCAGTTACCGCGATATTCGATTGAGTAACATTTTATTGCAGGTCCTTTTCGGTCCACGTTTGCGTGTATACCATGGAGAACTCCCAGAAAGGAATGAAATACCATGGGCTGCTCTGCTCAGAGGAAATGGGGTAAGTTGTTCGTGTATTTTGAATACTCTTCTAAAAGCGCTCCACGTGACTTTTACGGAGTTTTTGGAGTCATGTGACCTTTTTTCACAATATTCTGGTTGCCTTTTCATTAGATTCCCGCAAAATGGTTTGTCTCACAGGGAATCAGTTACTGCCTCTACTTCCGTTTCAAGAAGTCAAATTATCATGCACTCTACCTTAAAATCAGAACTCATGAAAATGAAGAGTAATTTGGCCTAGCTCGTCTTGTGGAGCATTCTGCCCAGAGATCGCTTTCGATGCCGCCTGTGTGAATCCCATATGTTCCCCTGTCAGCGCAAGAGCATCGGCTGCGTTTACACTTGAGTCTACAAGTCTGACCCAGGCAGGACGTGTAACCCAACAGGAACGAGCAAAAAGACTGGCAAAAAGGCTATATGCCTCCCAGCCGAACAGCTCGACTCATTTTATAGATGCTGCCCTCAAAACTGATAACCAGTCTCACTCACGGATGAATATTTCAGAACGAGAAGGCTACTGCAGCGGCACACTGATCACGAAACGACATGTGTTAACAGCGGCGCACTGTTTCAAAGAATGGTAATTTTTCACCCATTTGTTCTACAAGAATCACATAGTGCTGCGTTTATCTGAGAACAAGTTACAGTGAATGGGGAAGGAAATTGAGGTTAATCTCTGAAGAAAGACGTCGAAGAAGAACATAATAGAAATTTACAACAGGTTTTTTTTACAGGAAATATAGAGATACGCTCGAGACGATCTTGGAAACAATGATTGGCAGTGATTGCACAAGATATCCTTGTAAACGACAGAAGTTTCATCGCGTGAAAAACGTTCGTAAATTTTCCATGTAATCTGATGTCTCCGATATTATCAGTTTTCTTTCATTTTCTCTTCCCAGTTACCTCATACCTTCTCTTTTATGCCCGAGTCAGCAACTCAGCCAAGCGCTCTGAGCTAACGATTTGGGAAGGGATTCAATGTTAGAATAGTGTCTCGCTCCCTAAGAGAAACCAGCTACGAGACTCAAGTACGGAACCCAGAAAAATTATATGGAATCCCTTTCAGGCCAGGAAGAGCACTCTTATAAGATGTAAAGCTCTCGTCGGTGTCTGCAGTACTCTTGAGCTTTTTATCAACTTTTCGTCTGACCCCCTACCTCAGAGCCGAGCCGCCTCAATTTTTGTACCCGCAGCTCTTCCAGGCGATCCTTGCTGGACCGTTAATCGATCTTTTTTTCCGGTTCTGATGTTGTTCTGGAACCTGTTCTGGGCAATGTGAGTTCCTGGTCTCAGCTCCTGCCCATCCTCGAACAGCTCCGCCCCAATTTTTGTGCCCCACAATCCTCATTGGCGACCCTCTGCTGACCTTGATCCACTTTTTTCCGGTCTTCGGAGTGCTCTGGGAGAGTTTTGGAGAATTTTTGTTTGGCTCCGCCCAACTCGGGCTGGCCCCGCCCACAACGTTTTTGCTGCCCGATGATCTCGCTCCTCACTCGACCCTCTGCTAGAATTTATCCAATTTTTCCAGTTTTTCGGAGTGTCAGGTGCAGGTTTGGAGAATTTTTCTCTCTGCTCCGCCCACCACGGGCTGGCCCCGCCCACAATTTTCGTGCTCCACATCCTCACCGGCGAACCTTTGCCGACCTGATCCACTTTTTTCCGGTGTCTGATGTGTTCTGGAACCGTTCTGCAGAGTTTTTGTCTGGCTCCGCCCACCTCGAAACAGGCTCCGCCCCAATTTTTGTGCCCCACATTTTCTTGGCGACCCCTTGCTGACCTGAATTCACTTAACTCCGGTCTTCGGAGTACTCTTGAACCGTTGTACACAGACTTTTTGTCTTGCCTTCGCGCCCACCTTCGAGCAGTGCTGCGCCCACAACATGTGTTTTTGGGCCCTCGTCATCGCTCTCACCTTCGACCCTCTGCTGACCTTAATCCACTTTTTCCGGTCTTCGGAGTGCTCTGGGAGAGTTTTGGAGAATTTTTGTCTGGCTCCGCCCACCTCGGGCTGGCCCCGCCCCCTTATTTGTCGTGTCGCCCACGATATCCTTCACAGCGCGCGAATCGTTTGCTGACACTTGATGCAACGTTTTTTCGGTTTTTGGCAGTGCTCCTGGAATCCGAGCTACAAACTTTTAAAGTGAGTATCCTGCGGTTTAGGGCAAGCTCCGCCCACTGTGGGCACGCAACGTCACGGTCAACGCACTTTGGGCATGCCCAATAACTTCGCCAGATATTCTACTCTGCACTGAGCTTTTTGCGGTCTTCTGACGCGAACTCGAGTTACTCCGAGTTTTGATGCGAAGCAACCGCCCCTCCGAGTACGCCCGCCCAGTTCTGGGTGTTCTTCCATAGTTACTCTGGCTATTCTTCTAACCTATTCCCGTTGTTTTCACCATCTAGGTGCTTCCGGAATTATGAACATTTTTCTGTGGAACCCAAAATTTCAGCGAGTGCCCCGCCCACTGTGGGCGGGGCTTCGCATAGGTCAAGTGTGCTTTTTATTTCTTGTCCCATGCTCTACCCATCCCCACCTTGACCCGACCTCTCCAAGTCGTTCTTCAGGTCGAACCGAATTTCCGGACAGACAAACAAACTTACAAACAAACAACAATCACTGTTACATGAAACAATTACAAACAAACTTACAAACAAAACGACGAAACGAATTATATATATGGGGTGATGCTTCTACGTTTCCTCGCGATAGCATGTGACACAGCCACGCGGGGATAAAGCCCTCCATAATTCCGTTCAGAGAATCGTTCCGCAAATCTGAAGGTAGATTCGAGTTCACCATCCCAAGACTCGTACAACGGTGTGACCTCATTGGAAATGGCCGGGCTGACTCGCTTGACGCTTTCCTGTGTTAGATTTATGTTTCGGGGATCACTTCTGCAATACAAATTTGAAGGTCTCGGTTCCGGCTTGCGGATGTTAGCGGGGGATGTCATAGGGGAAGGAGGCCGGGTTTGGCTCGGCGCCAGCCAGTTTGCAACCGACTGCCTTTCTTGTTCGCTCCAATGGTGGGGAACGACTGACGCCGCCAACCCAACCCATTCGTCCTGCCACGCGGCCCCACCCTCGTTCACTCTGGAAATTGCGCTTCTGGCTCTATCTAATAAGTGAAACTTATTGATTCTAGTCAGAATTCAGAGGATAACGAACTGCGGAATATCTTTCATTGCACTCCCTTTCTCATAAATACTAGAAAACCAAGAACTGAAAGAGAACGTTGAACCCGGACAGCTGGGTGCATTTTGTAAGGCGCAGTTAGTCGACGGCCCTAGTTCGGTTTACACGTCTGCGCTGTGTGACAACCTATTACTCCTGTAAAACTCGGAAAGCCGCTCAGGTCATGGCTAAACCTGTCAACTCTTGTAAGCTCATGGAAAGTTAACGAGTGTTGACAGGTATCTTTACAAGGATTGACAGGTGGACTCTATAAACTTTTGCCTTATATCATTTCTTGGCTTAACAAGATCTCACAGGTGTCCACTTGATGGCTGCCACGTGGATGGAGGACGAAGTGCCAATCTGACCGCCCGCGTCGACTAACTGCGCATTTTGTAGGGATAATTTTTGCCGTTTATCACTCCTTGTCATCGTCTTACAGCTTTAGCTGTGGATACCACACAGTAAATGAAGACATGGCGTTAACTTACTATTAGAGATACAGCACTTCTTCATAAAAAGAATAGGGCAGAAGAAACTTCCTCTCTCCATTTTATTGAAGCTAAATCATCACGAGCCTCGGTGACAGAAAAAAATATTGATTAAGGTCTACTTTCTACCGACAGGCGATCGCCCTATCGATCGAACGACAATCGGCCATTGGTTACAGTTGCTACAACGCCAGCGTAGAAAAAGGAGGTTGGCCGATTTGCTTCCTTCAGAACAGGACACAACTTGTTCAAGGAGTACACCGTGTTGCTGATGGGGAATTCGATAGTTAGTACATTTTGCATCAAATCGGTAATTTTCCTAGCACTTACCCGGTCCTTCTCCTTGGTAGCAGCGCAACCTGACTCGTCGTGACTGACCATGGAGCTACTAGGAAGCTAGTAGGTGTCTGATGAATAGGTGGATCTGTGACAGTATAGAACCCTGTAAGGTAGTACTTAAGTGGCAGTCGAACGGCTTTATTACGGTAATGGCGGATAAACAATAATAACTAGTCAGTACCACCGCAGAAAGTCTAGGACTATGTTGCTCAGGAATATTGACTGATCAGAAGTCGACGGGGCACTTTGGCGACGCAAGAGGGGCATTCAAACTTTTGCTACTTCCCATCGACTGTCGACCCATCTAGGGTGCTTCGTGAGGTTACAAGAGTTGGCAGTCTTAATGGTGGCTAGACGAGCACGCTCTAGATTCAGAAGAGTTCACTATTTTTATCAGAGCGAGACTTGTGAACAGGAACTAGTGTGGCAGCTAAAGTAAAATCGGCACTATTTACCCTTTACTGCCCCAGTCATCCGAAATCAGGCCAGTTCCTGACCGACTTTTTTCTCCGTGGGCAGATTTTGCTCAAATGTTGTCTCCTGGGGTAGTTTGACCTCCAGAATACGAATATCACATTCGCTCAGGTTGCCTTATCTAACGTTTCTCCATTGAAATAGCCTTGTTTTAGCGGAACACAACGGTGACGTCATGCTGCACAAACTCACTTACGCACGGAATCAAAGCAGCTACGAAAACGAAATGTACGTTATGCGCGGAGGTACTCGTGCTGTCTGTCGGGTCAGTTTGTTTCTCTTAGTAGCTGCAAAATTGGAACAAGCCATTATATCGCACTTCGATCCGACCAGTATTATAGAAACGTTTTTGGAAGAAGAGCAATGAAAGAAAAGAAACATCAACACTTGCCATTTATCTGCCGTTTAACTGGATAGCTATCTTCATTTTTCGTGGAGTCAAATTCACAGGGTCCTGCAAGGGTTTTCACATGTATTCGATCCCATTTGCCTCGAATAATTCATTTCCATTGATGAACCTCTCCTCGCTGACAACCTCCTAGGGACTTCCTATACACGCTTTCAGGACTCGATGAACAGACCTTCACTCGGTGGCATTAACACATTGGCGACAAGGCGCCTTTTCGCGTGTCTGCCGCGTGGGACAAAGCAGTTTTTCCCTATTTTCGAAGAATGCGCATAAATGCTAGGGCGTTTATACGCCAAAAAATTGAAGAATGGTCAGAATTCATTGCAGAAGCTAGTAAGGCTTCGCTATTTGTTTACTTTCAAGATAAACCCTGAAATTTCATGGAATACTCCCGCCTCATTCACGTGGAGCGTGGGAACAAGGTCGCAAAAAGGAATATTTTCGCGCCAGAGGTGGTAAATTGGATTCGATTCAGATCTGCTATTGTTGAAAGTTACCTTATCACATTAGCTATCTGCATGTAGAGCTTCAGTTCTAAGGCATTTTCCGCTATAAAATAAGGCTATGACCTCTCACAATCTGCGGTCACGAGCTGTGCCTTCGAGAGAATAATGGCACTCGGTCTATTCCGCAACAGACGTTCTCGCTGCTTCGAGCGTACTGCAGTTTTCGGCAAGAATCTTCCATTCAATCATAGGAATACAATTGTTCTGCTTTCACGTGAGAGGATATATCCGGATTAATATCATTGATGTCTGTTCATTTCAGGGAGACAGTGGAGCTGGACTTTACCGCGTGGATGAAGGGGACAGCAGAGCCACAGTCTTGGGGGTTCTGAGTGGAGGAACCTCATGTTATCTGGTTGAAGAACATAGAAGTGAAACTTTTACAACAGATCAGATGTTTTCTTGAAAAAAATTGTATAGTTGAACCTCGTCTCTGAGCTGTCTCTTGTGCCGCAGAGTGTAGC